ATTATACCAGAAAATATGATTTTACCAGTTTAGAAAAAAAATATAATTTTTCAGGTTTCGTTAGAAAAGCATAATTTGTGGTTTTTAAAAAAAAATATGATTTTAGGTTTTTTTATTATTTTTAAATTTAAGAGTATTTCAGTCATTTGTCATTTTGAACTGAAACATCTATATCAAGATGATCCAATTTGGTTCATTTAGATAATTCTCATAAATTTATCTAAATCTTGAAAAATCATCTAGATAATTCATCTAAATATTTTTTGATTTTGTTACAAAACAAACAAAATTCTTATTTTTATTCAAATGAACCATATAGATTAAAAAATAAATAGGGTCTAAATCCAAAACTTATGCTAAATAAAAAATTAATATAATATTTATTTATACTGTAAGAAATAACTTTTTATCTTAAAAATATATAAAATTTAGAATAACATCCCGCAGTATAGCGCGGGTAAATACCTAGTACAGTAAGTAAATGTTGTTTTTCAATTGGGATTCTCTTTTAATGTAATAGATACTACTAGATTATCCATGCTTCAATTCGTGCTTCAAATTAAAAAAATATTCGATAATAACAAAAAATTTAATTAAATTTAATATTTTACAAAAATATTTAGTTTATATTAAATTTAAAAAATGAAAAATTATATATATTTGTTGAGTCTACTTTTACCATGACCAATTATAAAATGAAACGCGAACTAATGAGCCTCGCTAGAGCGTTGACATTTTTTTTACTATATTTGCCACCGACTTTCTAACAGAATGTTCCTGGACAGGTGGCATGTTTACCGAGCCAGACGTACTGTACTAGGCCGCCTGCTCCCTCAACGCGCTACATGGATGGGACATAAGGAGAAAAGCGAGATATAAAAAGAGGTCTAAAGCCATAAAAAAAAATGGGGATACTAAATCCTTAGAACTCAGAAGAGCCATATAGGGTGAATTCAGAGAGAACAGGAGGCATCAAACAGATGAGGAGGGGAAAGCCTCCGACCTCCGCTTCATCGGAGCTCGCCCAGAGCTCTGTACTTATAGCGAAATTGAAGAGTAACGCCTTTTAAGATAAGAGTCTTCCTAACTTTTCTTTCTCGATTATATACCCATGTAGAGAGAGTTCATACCCCACTCTCTTCATGATCTGTTCCTAATGCTACCCTGTCCAATAAACATCAGATGAATATCACGATTCTCGGATGGGATATCCAACCCTTAACCACCTCAAAACCTACCTTGAGTATCAAAAAACCTTCGGGAGAGAAACTCCATTTCAGTCCACCGAAGGCTAAATTAACGAGTTTGTCTGTGTCTGTGAAACCCGCTAGAATTCCACCCTGGAGCCGCGCATCGCTCATCTCCTCATATGACGAAACTCGAGATACAGCTCCATACATCAGGACGATTATATACCTCCATAAACATCCTAAAATTTACTTCCAAATAAATTATATATATGATATTATATAAATTATATTTTAAAAACTTTAGATAATTAGTTATATGAAAAACCTTAAAAATTATAGTATAATTTTCATCATAAAATCATACTATGATTTTCTCTCATGTATTCAAATAAATGTAAAATTGAAAAAGGAAAGATTTTTTGGTTTTTAAAAAAACAATCAAAAAAATTTGTTTTTTTTCATTTTGCTTTTAAAATTTGTTAGAAAAAAAGAGGAAATTTTTTTAAAATTTTTTTTTTAAAAAAAACAGAAAATGTCAAAGAAAAATCAGAAATAATTGAAGTAAAGTCGTGTAATAAAAACGAATTAGTAAAATCACTATTTAATATGGAAAAAAAGAATAAAATTATTAGATAATAGAATAAAATAGTCAGTAAATAATTTTTTTTACAACAGTCAATAAATAAGTTATGAATGTAAAATAATAGAAATAAACGTAAAGAAATAAAGTATATTTATGATACATACATTTTAAAAAAGATTCTTCAATTTGGATGGAACCCATGATTCTAATCGACAAGAATTTGACCCCATTCTTGTAAAAATAATGGTTCTATTTATTAAAAAAAAAAAATACATGCCCCCAAACTATAATATAACCAAGTAGAACAAATGTCAGTCGGGTCGAACCAGTGCGGCAGTGCCGCAGAACAAAGTACTTTTTGTTTTAACTTTTAATGGCGGATGCGGAGGCGCACATTATCTTCACGGACTCTAGAAACCACATAGTCCTTTGTTTATGCATAGTTCACCGAGTAGTCCTTCTCGTATCTTTTTTATAGTTCTGGGATATAAAACAACTATCTTGATGTTTATCACTTTATGTCACATGTAACAGAAGTATGTTAGTTTTTTCTTTTTAGTTTAAAACTCGCATGGATTTAGATGCTTATTAATACTAAAGAGTATATACTCCTTTCCGGGGTACCCCAAATTCTCTTGAGACTAGGAGAGCTTAACTTATTTTGATCATGATCATGGACCGAGTTTATATTGTCCAGTGAGCTGTTTTAGTTTAGATTTATATTGATAATACCACTCAACTCATACATAGTACCACTTATTATAGATAGTGTAGCTGCATCTCCGAGTTACAAAGATCTAAACTAAAATAGCTCATTGGACCAAAGTTATTAAATTTAAAATATGGTATTAAAAGATTCACATAAACCAAATACACGTAAGAAGTTTGTATGTTATATAATCGCAGCAGCATTTTATTAATGTATTATATATATATATATATATATTGATATAATAGTTTTTTTATGATTCATCATTTAATTATTTGGCTGACTAATTTATGTTTGTGTTTGGTATTTTTAATCATAATACATGCTAAATTTGTGTACGCATGCTATGATCCTTTAAAAACAATATCATAATATATATATATATATATAATAAGATTGTATTCTCATAAAACTATGTTAGAATTTTACAAAAATAAAATTTGGATTATTTCTCAATTGTGGATGTTTTTCTTGCTGAGAGTCCAATCATTTTTGAATAGTTCTAATTTTATCCGATGTCTTTGAATACACTTTTCATAATTAATATTCCTTTTAAAATATGATAATATATAAATTTTAATCCCACAATATTCCTTGAAATTATAGATGATATGTTTTTTAATTTGATTGGTTAATAATTGTACTTTGGGATTTAAATAAATTGGAAATCAAATTGGTAAAGACTGATAATCCTCTTTACAAAATCTTACGAAAATAATTGAAAAAGAAGAGTTGCTTGCAGTTGATTGGTTGATAGTTGTATTTAGGGATTTGCAAGAATTGAAAATTATATCAATAATGGCATTTCTTGTAATTGTGTGTGTCAAACGTCAAGTAAATTGTGTTCTTGTCAATGTTTTGTAGTGTTTAACTTGAGAACGACCTATAAATGTCTTCGACCAAATGATTTTAAATAATGCCTAGAAGATTACTACCGTATATATTTTCTTCGATGAAATATAGATCTTTCAATTAACCCTATATAGACAGACCATGCTTTCCTAACTCAACCGAGAATGAGGGCTGTGAAGTTACACCACTAGAGAAACGATTTTGTTCAACTTGTAGTGGCTAGTAAAGCCTAGGTCAAATAAATACCTGTTTAGAACAAATTTCATTGACCTGGCTAGAAGGGTTGAACACATTGCAAATACGTAAAATCTAAATATTAGAGTTGTGTGTTAGAACTTTATAATACGTTATTTACTAGCTATAACTCTATAAATTAAAGAATGCATAAAAATTGTGCTAATTTTCTTGTTCGTTTTTGCACCTTATTTCATGTTCAGTTCAGGGTCTCCATTATCGTCAGGAAGCTAATGACAGTTGTGAACAAAGTAATATTCGAGAAAATACGGTAGAATTAATTAGATACGGTTATGTCTAATTAACAACATGTACGACGTACGTGTATTTGGATATGACCCATGTAAATGTTATCAGTCGAACTATCTGACATTACTTTATTTGGTACGTACAAAATTAAGAATATTCATTGAACAATCCTCTTGATGAAGTATAATTAATCAATGTGCAAAATACATACGTGTATTTAACACGAGCATAAAAAAAAGTTGTTTTGTTTTGCTGAAGAATTAGTTGAGAGGCCTAACAAAATATTGTTTGGCTCGATCTCGTTTCTTGTCTTCCAATTTTAGGCAGATAATACTTCTTACACTATCTCAGATTTCGTTGAATTTTGATGCCAAAAAGGGGCAAAAAAAAAGCTCTATCAAAGTTATTAAAAGAAAATTTTAAACGTATGCGTAGGATAAAACTGTTTCAACTCGGATTCTGAAAGTGATAAACAGAAATTCCAGATTGAGATGTTTCACGTTGACTTTACCCCATATACATCTTGACTGTTCTACATTCATTATTCGTTAACTTATTTATGTAAAATAAAATAAATATCAAAGAAGTAATAGTGAAAAGTGAAAACCAAATTCAATTAGGTTGGTTAGATGTCATTTACATAAGGACATTATCCATTACCCATTAATATGTGTCATTTATATATTTAACAACCCAGCAAGTTATATCCCTTTATTTATTTTTCTCTTTCCGAGTATTGACCATGTTTTCTTGGGATATTTATTCCACCTTCTCTTTCAAAATGAGAAGGCAATATATAAAGTTTTAATTTTATTAGAGTTAAGAACCTTAATTTTGTCAAATATTATGGCCCGGCCTTAACCCGAAACTAAAAAGTTTTTATTATTCACGTAATATATAAATAGAAAATTATGAGACCAAAATGGAACAATTTGACCCAAAAAAAAAACAATGGAACAAAAGTCGAGTAGTTACTTTTACTAGAATTAAGCATGTTGCTCTGATTCATCTGATGAACATTATTATCTGCCTAAAATTGATATAATTTTAAGCATGTTGCACGTAAAGAGATATAATTTTTTTTTTAACTTTTCATTATGATAAAAAAGTTTAATATTTATTTTGTATGATGGTTTCGTTTTCAAAAATAAAAGAACAAATCAGTTGAATTTATTTTTAACCGAAACATTTGACGCGTATTGAAAAGGCCTAAGAAAGCCCAATAGTAATAATTGTAAGAGGGCCCATTGCTTAATTTAATTTTTTCAACAAAATTGTATAAAACAGTAGAAAGTTTCGCCGTCACCCGCCAAAACTGATATTTTTTAATCACAAACGTCAAAAATAAGAAAAGTAAATAAACGGCAGAGATTCAAGCCCTAGATGGCACGTGATAGTATCTTCCTCTGCACGTGCATCTGTAGATGACGCTGCATGATTCGGCAACGGAGCACTGAAAGCTAATCATCACGCGTTTACACGGCGAGCATGCACCACACGCATATGAACAGTCGGGTAAACTCGATCCTGTCGGATACATTTCCATTTCTACCCCTCCTTTTTCTCTTATTTCCTTCTTCACCACAAAATAATCGAAACAATCAATTCAAAACACATCCAACCTTCTTTTTTTCACAAAGACATCCAATAAAGATGACAAAATATTTATCTGAATATGGCAGTTGCAATTAAGGGTAGGTACTGTTTTGTTTTAGTCCGGTTTTTGTTTTAAAAGGTACTTAAAGATAGTCACATATAACTGTTTAACATGATTATATCTATTTTTAATACATGTATATATATATATATATAGTTAAAACATAAAAAAATTAATGAATTTTGGTTTGTTACACAAAATGGATTTCAAAATTTTTATTGGATTTTGAGATACTGAAACCAAACGGTTTATAAATAAATTTATGTTTGATTTCGGTTTGAAGGTTATATATATTTCCCACCCTTAGTTGCAATTATCAAACCAAACTGTTAAGATTAAAAATCTGGTCAGGGTGATATAGTGAAACATATTGACTGTTGAAGATATATGTAATTCAAGAAATGTCATACTTTCAAAAAAAAAAAAACGAAAAGCGAGAGTAGTGCACGGTGCGAGACTTGACCTACCTTGTGGTGCGTTTGAGCTTTTTCTATCTCGGCGTTTTTCTTTCCTCCACCATTGACCGTTATTTCTACAAAAGGGCATAAACTTAAGTTGTTAAAATATGAACAAATGATATAACAAATATACTATATAATAAAAAATCGAAAAGGGTGAAAGATATTGATGTGACGGACTTAGTGGCGGCGTGCGAATGCAGTTAACGACCAAAGAACACGCGGCGAAGACTACGACGAGGACAAACAATAACGTGCGGAGAAACTTCGCCATTTTAATTTTTTTTTAATTTTAAAGTAGGATTAGAAAAGAAAAGGGAAACCTTCTTGATGGAAAAGAGACTTTAAAGAAAAGCTTCTAGAATAATGGAGGAGAAGACAATACTTCGTGTGTTGTGTGTGAAGTGGAATAATCGAAATGCAAGTGATATACATGTGTATATATATATATAGTTAGGGAAATATGAGAAGAATTGTTATGTGTTGTAACAATAAATGAAAAGAAGATGTACACCTGATGAAGATCACATGATTCTCGTCGATTTCGGATATTTTTCTATAAAGGAAATCATTTATTCGTTTAGTTACATCAACGACCATGTTCACTATCATTTACATTCAATTTGTTTGAATATTTTTGAATCTAAGAACTGTTCAAATGTAGCAACAAGGCCAGAGATGTGGTCATGCATTTGTTTCACACTTTCACTTTACATGTTTCAAAACTCTAGTCAACTTTTCGGATGTATAGCAAAATTGCAAAAATTGTATACTTCGACACTATAAATGTAGTTCAGCATAAAACCCCACCCAGGAAAAAAGTAAAAAACTAGTTGAGTATCCATTTTTGAATTAGGACCAATATATTCATATTGTATATATATGCACTGCAGTTAGAAACCCATATTTATTTTCTCTTAATTCTAAAATTGGCCTGTTATTAGCTCATGAAATCTTCGTATTTCGTTAGTGTTTTGTGAGGATCATAATCATATTATAAGAGCATGCATGGATGGACATTATATTTAAAATTAGAAAAGCATGCATTGATTGTAGGAGTCACTGTGGTATTGTATCAAATCTATAGAGACAGAGAAAATTATACGTAACGATAAGGTATATATATGGTGTGGGCCAAAAAAGGAGTCACGAAGGGAATAGTTAATAATTGCAGTCATAAGGTTCACAGTGGGAGAGAGAGCACATAAGCAGCCAAAAGTGTTCAGAGGGAAAATAACCTGTCACACAAACGTGAACCTTGCTCTTGTTTTTAATGACCTTTCACCAAAAAATGACATTGTTGCATATTTTTCATTTAACAAAAACAGTCATGGCTTTAGATCCATAAAACTATTCGAGTCAAAAATTAGATCAAGTTAATTAAATAAGTCATCCCTCTGTTGCTTTTACCTACTATTTTTCAATAAGCTCCGATGAATTCGATGGTTATTATGTGCTTTGGTCTAGAAATTTTTCGAAAGTCAAACTTAACATAAATCGGTCTCCAGATTATTTCAGAAAGTTTATGATGATGAGTACTTTGTTGCTATTTAAAGTGTTCTTGATTCTCATCCTAAGCAACTTTATATTTTTTTAAATGTGTCATATATTAGGAATAAAAGTTTGTGAAATTGAAGTTTTCTTTAACGTTTTACCATGTGGATCGAAGAATATGAAAGTAGTTAACTCATTCTACTGAAAAAATTAAAATCATAAACAGATTTGTAAAGATCATATTTTTATTTTATTTTCTTTATGATCTATTCTATTTCCAGGGTTTAGTCAATAATTTTACGAATACTATCTTTTTTTTTACAACGATTCATTAAGCTATCTGTCACTATCCGGAACTAGTCATTTGAATATGTTTAAATGGATTAATTTTGCTACCTATGTCACCAAAGTGCATTTATCTTTTCGGTTAATAGGCCTGAGAGAACTCTAGAGTTAAACGTGTTTGAGCTGGAGCTGGAGCTGGACTAGGATGTGTGACTTTTCGGGAAGTAATTTCCGAAACCGTGTGAGTGAGGCCAAAACACAAGGAAAGATCATGTGGTGATTGTAGGATCAGTAAATAAATCGATTGGGCTTCGGAAAAAAATAATGCATCGGCCGTCGGACAGGGATAGGACCCACAGGCCCGAGAGAGGATGTGAGTGTGCTCACCGGTGGGGGCAGTCGAGGGCGTTTCAGTTGGTATCCGAGTGTAAGGTTGCCAAGCCGGTTCTGTCCCGGAAGGCGGCCCTTTGAAAGTAAAATGTTTTCAAACTTTTTTTGGGGTAATAAGGGTTTTTGAAAAAAAATAAAGTACCACCGATCTATGGTTGGGTTTGTGTTTTGCAGTGGCCTCTAAGGCTTGAAGATATGATCCGAGTATTTCTTTTTCAGAATGGTGGGACCTCGACGCAACGGTAATGGAAACGACAACCAGAACAGGAATGCAGCTAACTCAATGAATGAAGTACCAGCTGTTGTGGAAGAGAATGTTCCAGCAGGTGGCTCAGCGCTAGTAGTGGCGGCCCAGGAAGTTGATCCTGCAGCTATTGGGGCAGCAATGGGAGCAGCTGTGATGCAAGGAATTCAACAGTTGCTTGGACCATTGTTGGAGCGACTTCTAGTGTCCGGAGCAGTTCAGGGAGTGGCTCAAGGTGCAGCTGCGGGGCAGTATCAAGTTCCCGGGAATGGTGCATACCAGGACTTGCCGCCTCCACCTCCAATGTCGATGCCACATCAGGCGCAAGGATATGGTCCGCAAGTGCCCTCCTACTACGATGTGATGAGGATGATGAGAGAGTTGGGCATGGAGACTTTTGCTGGTGGGACCGATCCGATCAGAGCAGACCATTGGAAAAAGTTATTGGAACACAGCTTTGCATCAGCAAGATGCCCAGTGGGGTACAAATTGGAATTAACAGTTCAATACTTAAGGGATGAAGCTCACGAATGGCAGGAAAGATTGAATACCGAGCTGCAAGAAGGGGATGTGTTACGCTGGAATGACTTCAGATATGAGTTCAATCGGAAGTATTTTCCTCAGGAGCCTGAAAACAGGCTTGAAGTAGAGTTTCTAAAGTTGGAGCAAGGGAACTGTACTGTGAAGGATTATGCTCAAAAGGTTTAATCGCCTTAAGAAGTTTGCGGGAGAGAGATGTCTGAGAACCGTCTGGTGAAGAAGTTCATGGGTGGACTGAGAGTAGACATCTGTAATCGTTGTCAGCTGCTGGACTACACTTCCGTGATTAATCTGGTTGAGAAGGCTGCCTTAGCCGAAAAGGGAATAGAGGATGAGGATAAACTGGCAAGGAGTGCCCAAGCCAGAGCAGCAAGGATGGCAGAACCTCAGATGCAAAATCATGATAACAGCGGAGCTGTACAGGATGGGAGAGGACCACCACAATGTCGCTTATGCGCAAAGTTTCACCGTGGACCATGTAAGGCGGATTCAGATTCGTGTTTCGGGTGTGGGAAGCAAGGCCACACCAGACGGTACTGTCCTGATAAAGGAATCACTTGTGGCACATGTGGGTAGTTGGGGCATGCCGCTAAAAATTGTAGAGTAAGACTAGGAGGAGTGCAACAAGAGACTCATAATAGGGATCAATTGCCGCCACCTGCAAAGCATCCAGCGTTGGGACCCCATGTGTATGCAATGGAGGAAGAGTATGCAACTGAGGATGACTAGCCGGCAGATGGTAAGTCATGTTAATTTTTTAGCATTATTGTTATGTGAATAGAATGCTTAATTATTGCGTGCAAGTCCTTCGTCCTATCAAGTCGTTTAAAGTTAGAAAACCGTGGAAATTTAAAATCTGGGGAAGGGTGGTAGCCAATACACTTTGTTTGACATAGGAGCTACACATAGATTTGTATGCCCTAGATTGACAAGTGTTGGGAGTTTGGTCAACCGTTAAGTAGGCGGGAAGGCGAAGTTGTGAAATCCAAGGCTATTAAGTTCCAAGAAACCACACTTGGGAGAAGGACACTTCAAGTGCGATCAGATTCCAAGTGGGGGAGAAGCCGTCCACAAATTCGAGGACGAATTCGTTTCAAGTGGGGGATAATTGTGACATCCCAAACCTCATCCCTAAACCCAATTAATTCATTTTAATCCTAAATACCCTTAAGCCCAAAAACCCATAAAATTAAAGCCCACTTTTAGATCTAAACCTAGCTCCTGCTAACCCTTCTCCTGATATATAAAGATGAGCCATGACCTTAAGGGAGGCAGAGACCATATCCTTCGTGAAGCCCTGCCAAAATCCAGCCTCAGTAGCCATCAATAGCTTTTCAGATCCGTCGCTTTTCGAGCTAGATTCCATTCGACTCCGATCGATACAGATCAAGATCTTAGTGCCATTACCAAGATAATTCTCTTAGATTTCCAGAGCTTCTTCAATCGTCCGATTTGAAGGTATATTCTGTGAGTTATGGTCATTTTAATCTGAGCGGATCTATTCTGCTAATTTTCAGAAATTTGTCTTTTCCCAGTTTCGAAAAAGAAGTTGTGGATTCATTTTCTGGCAAACGAGGACGACTCAGTTGCCGATCCTCATACAGTTGGAAATCCCATCTAGCCACCTTGCCGTGGCCGTTTGCAGATCTCTGATCTGAGGTAAATCGAGAAAGTTATGTTGATTGCTTTTCGGCCAAGAAACTAATTAATATGAAAAATCTGGAAACCCTAGATCTGAGAACTCTTGTTGTGCAAGTTTAGCAGAAACCCTAATCTGAAAACCCTAATTTAATTTAGAAATTTTTTGTTTTAGAATATTCTAATTTCGAAAAGTTCTATTTTTAGAAAGTTTCCATTTTAGGAAAGTTCTATTTTATGAAAGTTCTAATTCTCAAGCCTATTCATCGCAGTTTCTGTCCGTCAACCGCAGTAACCGCTTCTGCTGACTTCTCAGTTTCAACCAAAAGGCAAAGGTGAGGCGGGACTTGTGGATCTATAAGTTGTGTTAGGCTTAGCTAAATATGTGTATGCTGAACTTAGATATTAGAGTTTGATTTTTAATTCAAACGAACTTCAATGATGATTGAGAATGGATGCTTGAATTGTTGATTGGTGTTAGAATAGGCGTATTAGAGCGTATGATTGATTCCGACCTATGGACGGATTTTTGATGGTCATCACGAAGGACGTTGAACCAAGTAATATTATGGTTAGACTGCACACAGAGGAAGTGTAGTCAATACAGGGGCTGACGGACCTGTGAGATTTGACTGACAAGTCACGAGATTTTAAAAGTGTGACGTTCTCGTGAGTGAGAACTTGTTTGATAGGTTTTATATGAACTTGTGATTGCATGATGATTGATGTTTGTCTATGCTAGGTTGAGTGGATACATATGTGGTGATGGTTAATGCTTCATATAGATCTAGTAGACAGGTATAATCGTTTCACTGAGTAACTTGTTACTCACCCTTCTTTTCTCTTTTCAGGTGTGTGACTTGAGTTAAAGTCGGAGTGGTGCTATTTCCAAAAACCATAAAAAAGACGCTTTAGTTTTATTTAAACTTTTTAAAAGATATTTTATTTATTTATATTTTACATTTAAATTTTGGTTTTTATTGTTATGATGCTTTGAATTTCTAGTTTATTTTTAATAAAGATGTTTTAGTCCTTTAATGCGTATTAAATTTTATTTTTATTTTGGTAAAAATGATTTTAAAAGACCAGTTTCGATTAAAATAGCAAGGTTGGGGTCTCTCACTATCTCCCATATGTTCTGTAACTTCCGCAATTGGCACTTATACACTCATAAGGTTTTGACGTTTTAAATAAGATAGCCACAATTTTGTATCAATTTGCCTTTTAAATTACTCCATAACTCAAAGATCTATTTCACACCTAACGTTTGTTCATTTGTTCATACCTACATGAAATACACAAAACTCATATAGAACTATAAAACTACTATATATTTCCAACTCCAAACATTAGTAGAAACTCCTTCATGTCACTGCATCCGCTAAAGACATTTTGTTCTTTAAATTACCAATGCTAAATGATCGCATCACCAATAACTGAATTTCAAGTAAAAAGAACATATCAAGAAGTTATATGAGAGAATCTTATCATCATATGATAACATGAATAACATTTTACATTTATATATTAGTTCTCATATGATGATAAGATTCTCTCATATAACTTCTTGATATGTTCTTTTTACTTGAAATTCAGTTATTGGTGATGCGATCATTTAGCATTGGTAATTTAAAGAAAAATATTTATCTTATTACTAGCCAAAATATATGCCAAACCTTATGGACATTGCTTCTTAGATTAGTTTTGTACTGACACATTTCCTAAACCATTTTACCTACAAATTAAATGTTATAGCTAATATATAGAAACTTGCGCTTTCAATGCAGAGAATAGTTAGAAGATAAACCCATAGTATTTTTAATTTCGAAAAGCCTCTCCAATCTACTTAACGCATTGGAATTTAGTTACAGTCGCTAATCGCTATGCTTATTTTCTTAGCCTTTTTGTTCCACTTCTCCCAATCATTTTTGGTAATAAAACTTTGAATATCACGAATTTGTTTTTGGAAAACTTGTTGCTATATGCAAGTGCTTCAAGAAAATATTATTTTTTATTGAATTTATTCACTCTGGATTTGAGCAAATACGGAGTCCAATAGTGTAGGCCCTAAAATGAGCCCATTTTCACCGACGTGGTTTAGTTGCTAACCAACTCCACTTGCTAAGAAGACAGATAGGCAAATCATCTCCACTTAAATCAGCTCTGATCGAGACGCACCGTTTTGTCATTCAATTTGTTTTTTTTTTTTTGGTTTTTCCTGGAAAAGAAAAAAAAAACAAACATATTACCAAAGGAAAAAAAATCCTTCGTTAAGAAGCAAGATCTTTGTAATCTTCTTCGTTTCTCTGCTCTGTTCCGACGCTTCGCGATCGATCTCTATTGATCAATCGTTATCAGTTATCGATCATGTCGATGCTCGATTCGTTCTTCAATAAGGGCTTCAAAGCTGTAAAGTGGTATTCTCTTGATTTCATATTTTCTGGATTTTGCCAATTTTATCAATCTGGAAAACGGAAGAAGATGATTCTCTGTGTCGCTTGTTCGTTTGCAGTATCTGACTCATATATTGTGTTGGGTTTTTCTCTTTTTGGTGATATGAACACAGCAAAACCTTGCTCAAGTTAACGATACCTCGGATTAAGCTAATCAGGAATCGAAGAGAAGCGCAAATTAAGCAAATGCGCCGAGAAATCGCTAAGCTTCTCGAGACTGGGCAAGAAGCCACTGCTCGAATTCGGGTAATGGGTTTTTGGTTAAGTTTAATTGGATTTTTTTTGGGAATTTTCTTTCAACTCTGACGTTTTTTCTCTTAGGTTGAACATATTATAAGGGAAGAGAAGATGATGGCTGCTCAAGAGATACTTGAGCTCTTCTGTGAGCTCATAGCTGTTCGTCTTCCAATTATCGAGGCTCAAAGGTCATAACTTTTTGAAATCTTTCTTCACTTATTGTTCTTGAGGAGATTTCCGAACTTTGAAGGCTTCTCTGTCTTGCATCTTACAAGCTCTTTTAGATAGTTTGGAATTAGTTATATACTTATGCCTTTTGTCTCTGTTTCTGAGTCTTTCTCTGTTCATCCCATTGTTGCTGAGTATTGTGTATCCTTCTTTTTGGAATTGTATAGGGAATGTCCTCTAGATCTAAAAGAGGCAATATCAAGTGTATGTTTTGCTGCGCCGAGGTGCTCTGATTTGACGGAGCTGCAGCAGGTTCAGATGCTTTTTGTTTCCAAGTATGGAAAAGAGTTCGTTGCAGCTGCATCTGAGCTCAAGCCGGATTCTGGTGTCAATCGTAAGGTAAATCGAAGTTCATTGGTGGGAGAAAAAATATATAAATTGCTAATATGAGACTAGCATGTAGAAACTCAACACGGATTGGTATATGAGTAATGAGTTCTTAAGTTTAGCATCTGCAAATCCTTAGGAATTACTAGTTTTAAGAATTGATCTATCTTGTGGTCACGCTAACATTCATCGTGTTGTTCAGTCTAGTAGACACAGTAATGTTTTTTATGTTTTTCCAAATCAATTTTACAGTTGGTGGAGTTGTTGTCTGTGCGTGCACCTTCCCCAGAGACTAAACTGAAACTTCTCAAGGAAATTGCAGAAGAACATGAACTTGATTGGGACCCTGCTTCTACAGAAACTGATCTATTCAAATCGCATGAAGATCTTCTTGTCAGTACTCCTCTCTTTGTATTTCTTTATTTCTTCTTCTCTGCCTACATATGGGTCTGGTTATTGTTCAGAAACATGTCAGGTGCTTTATTTGTGTTTGCATCAAACCTACTACAATTCAAATGTATTTCACCATGGTTTTTTTTGTGTGTCAAAGGTCTTTGCTCCCTTCTAGGACCCATTTGTTCCTTTTTGCTTCAGTCTCTGTGTTTCCTAAATTTTCCTCTTCTTTTTTCAGGATGGACCAAAGCAGTTTACTGGGGGCTCTAAGCAGCCATTACAGGAGGAACAACATGAACGGCCACATTTGATAATGAAATCTATTTCACGTCCAAAGGAGCAATCTGATTCTGACTCAGAGTATGAAGGTTTGGACTTTCCGGAGGTTCCAGATGTCTTGCTGCGGCCGGCTCCTGCTGCTACCCCTGAAAATGCACCAGAGGCAGCGAAATCTGCCAGCCATGGACATACTGATCCAGACTTGCCCTTTGATTCAGAGAATGCACGCGACGAACATCCGGCTTCCAAAAGAGATGAACATCCTGCTTCCAAAAGAGATGAACATCCTGCAAAAGGAAGCACGACCGTCGTGGAAGGCCAACAATCTCCACTCATTGTTTCTTCGCAGTACGTGACAGAATCTGAATCCGTGAAACAGAACAGTTACTCTCCACCACCCGTTGACGTAGTGGGACACTTCTCTACAAAAGAGAGTGGCGCTTTGAGGGATGCTCCAAGGAGAATATCCGAGTTGGACTTGCAGGATGTCTTAACGGCTGCTCAAGCTGCTGCTGATTCAGCAGAACATGCAGCAGCAGCTGCTCGTTCAGCTGCAAGTCTTGCACAACTTAGAATCAATGAGCTCACCAAGAAGACAACACCTGACCAGTCTCCAGAGAGTCCTAATGAGAACCCTTTCCATTCAAACCCACCACAGACGATGGAAAAATCGCAATTTGATCATCAGAATTCTTTGGTCAGTAGCTTCGGAGATCTTACAGACTTCCAAATGGCAGACACTTCATCACATTTTAGCCATGAGCGGAACAACCACCAAGCAGAGAGACTCCCTTCAATGGAAAACCCGCGGTTTGATCAGCAGAACTCATCGGCCAGCAGCTACGGCGCTTCAATGGAAAACCCGAGGTTTGATCATCAGAACTCATCAGTCAGCAGCTACGGCGATCTTACAGAGCTTCAAAGACCAGAGACCTCATCATTTGACAGACTCAGCCCTGATCAGGACCACCAGCAAATGAGGTTGCCTTCCATGGAAGATGATCCCTATTACTCATACCCTAATCTGTTCACATCGCAGAAACCTGATCGCTCACCAGACAATACAAAACCTGCCCATGATTCTTGACTCTTGCCTGCAAATTGTTATAATACAAAGCTTGGTTTTTTTCAGTGTGTTTCATTTCTGCTGTTCCTTCTCTTGTGCAACAAAGAGCTCGATCGTTTCTTGAACAGCGTTTTTCTTCCTCTTTATTCAGTGGAAGGTATGTGTAATGTATAGTACTTGGTGTGATTTATTCATGTTCAAATAAAAGGCCTTGGTTTGCTCAAGAATTGAATTTACGAACGCTGATGTTCTAATTTAGCGCCTGCGTTTGATTGAACACAAACGCACACGCCCCAAATTCATAGGCGATCCAAAAGCTGGTATGGACAAAAATGCAACGAACACAAGATTTAAAGACTACTTTTTTCATAATCTTTCTCATTTCTGTTAGACAAATTACAATGTTCTTATCTCGGACCAGACAACTCAACAGCATGAAGATTGTCTGTAGAATCAAGGATCCAATCGGAAGTAGGATGAGAAGAAAACTCCACTTCTTGCCTGAGAACTTCAACTTTCTGCCACTCGTCCCATTTCTCAGCCAAACCGTCACCTTCAAGCATCCGAACAACGTCAGACATCTTAGGCCGTTCCATAGGTGAGCTCTGTGTGCAGAGAAGAGCCACTTGTATAAGCTGTTCTACTTCAGCTTCCGTGTAATTGCTCTGCAGATCAGGATCCACAAGCATCTCAAGTTTCTTCTCCTTCAAAAGCCCTTTCACCTAAGAATATCAAACGAAACAGAGAGATTAGCTTTTGAGAGTAGACACAAGAAGTAAATGTTCCAAGAGATGTGTGTTTATACCCAATCTAGCAGCATAACGTCATCGTCATTAGCCAATCTTGCAAGATCAAAAGCTCTCTGACCAGTGATCAGTTCCAAAAGCATGATCCCATAGCCAAAAACATCGGTTTTCTCTGAAGATTTTCCGGTTGAAAGATACTCAGGAGCAATGTGTCCAATAGTCCCACGCACAGCCGTTGTCACATGTGTATCTTTATAATCCATAAGCCTAGCTAACCCGAAATCGCCTACCACAGCCTCAAATTCCTCGTCCAACAAAATGTTAGCAGCTTTCACATCACGGTGAATGATTTTCGGATCACAATGATCATGAAGATAAGACAAACCCCTCGCTGATCCTAACGCGATTTGCTGTCGTACTGGCCAAGCTAGAGGCAACTGCGATGGTGGACGTTCTGCAAATCATTTTAAGAAAGCTCACTCATTCCAAGATCATATACTTTTATGACACAAACCCGTTGAAACTCTGAGGTTACCTCTCAAACAAGAAGCAACACTTCCGTTGGCCATGTAAGGATACACAAGCAGTCTCTCTGTAGGTGTCATGCAGAAACCACGTAGCCTGAGAAGATTCCTGTGAACAGCCATGCTTATCATCTCCACTTCTGTCTGAAACTGAAGCTCTCCACCTGGTGTGCGCTCTTCTTTAAGCCGTTTGACTGCAACAAGTGTTCCATCAGCGAGACGGCCTTTGTAGACTTTTCCGAACCCACCTCGGCCCAAGATGTTCTTGTTGCTGAAACTATCGGTTGCTACTTGAAGTTCCCGTAGAGAGAACCGCTTAAGCTGCCCCAAGTGAACCTCAGGGTCCTCTTCGGCTGCATCATATAGAACCACAAGATCAGTAAATTATATACTAATACAATGCTCTAGTGAAACAAAGCTTTGATATTGTTAGACTCATTGGCTAACCAGGAACATCAAAGAAGAATTCTTGAGGTTTTCTCCTACGCCACCAAGCAAAAGCTAAAGCAGGTGCAGCAAATAGTAAAGCAGCACCAGCAGCAACTCCTCCCGCAATGGCTGTAGTAGTACTATACCCACCTTAAACAAAATTTACAAAGAAATAGTCAACAACCAATATTCTAGCAGAGAAAGTCCATCATCGACTTCTAAAAACCTGTGAGATAAGACTGTTTCCAATCAAAATCCACTAAAAACTATGTCCACTATGCTTCCAAGCATGAGTGAATGTTAAATATCTAAAGTTAAAAACCTAAAGTTTACTGTCTGCTTCATTTCATTACCTTGAGTAGGAACAGTGGGAGGAGGGATAAAAGGTGGAGGAGGAGAAAATGGGGGAGAGCCAGGGCAAGGACGACTAGTAACTGGGCCGCATAGATCCAAGTTGTTAGCAAAACTGTGCAGAAAGAACACAACTTGTGAGGTCAAAGCGTTAATTTTTTCATATTCACCAATAACAGTAATAGAATTTTCAGCAATGTGGTATGTCTATTGATTAGTGGTACTTCAAAGAAACCTCTGTGGCATACAGGATAAGAGAAATCTGAGTGATTAGTGTTCAATAGTATGGACTCCATCAAACCTGATGGGTGTGAAGAGCGAGAAGGAACCATTATCAGGAACAGATCCGGATAATTGATTGTTCGACAGATCCCTATTTTGCGAGAGATTAAGGAAAAATCAGAGGACCAATTAAGAGTGAGAAGTTCAAAAGAGCAGAAAGTGAAGTTGATATAGTGATACTCACAAAACTTGAAGGGCTGTGATATTAGTCAATGACATGGGAATTGGTCCGGTGAGAGTGTTATTGTTCAGCCGACTATCCTTGCAACAAAAAAACTCATACCACATTACCATCTTGCCATACTATAATTCAATCAAACAATTTTTCTTAATCATTTTAAATAAAGCAAAGACATTTAGGCAAATGATGAATAGAGCAGACTTTAAGATGTTCTTACAGAAAACGCAGCTTGAATAGCTTCCCCAGAGAATCTGGAATTGGACCAGTGAAAGTGTTCAAGTAAAGATCTAAGCTCACTAAGTTTGTCAGATTCCCAAGATCGCTTGGAACAGGCCCGGTTATGTTATTACTATAAAGCTCCCTGTAATTAAGAGTATCACCGACCTCAGAAGAATATACACAATCTACAAAGACAAATGACTGTTGAAGCAAAAACTTACAAGTACTGTAAGTTCTTGAGCTGGCCAAGCTGAGGAACCAATTGACCAGACAGTTCTGCATTCCCGAGATCGCTGACGAAACAAACAACAAAACAAGATTAAATAAAGGTAAAGGCAAGAACAATGGTGGGATCAAGTGCAGGCAGAGAGACACTCACACTCTTATAACACTGTTCTCGTTGTTGCACGTTACATGAAACCAAGTACACGGATTAACAAGTGTAGGATCCCAGCTTTGCAATACATTGTTTGGATCAATGAGATTAGCTCTCAAACTGTGCAGCGCATCACCTGTTACATCATACAAAACCAAAAGCCTTAAGCTTTTCACAAAGAGGAAGAGATTGGCAGACAAACAAACAGTTTTAATTCCTAAAGTCAGTTTAAACTTCCGAGAAGTACAGCAACCATTCCTCTTCCCTTTTACAATCAAACTCCATTTTCTGGTGAATTTGCAGTTGCAATTAGAAACCTTAACACTAGCATTAAATTTTCTCAGTTCAAGTTGTTAATATATATTGCTAATTTCAAAAACTATGAGGCTGATTTTCCTGTCTTTATCAGACCTCTAATCATAGATTATGTAACAAAATTCTCTAAAAAATTGAACTTTCAAAAAGAATCAGATTCTGAAGGAAACAAAAAATGTCCTTTTAAGAACAGCGACAGTGCTAGATGAATTTTCTGTTCTCATGTACCCATTGAAAATGATAAGAAGGCAAAATATAAAAACATATAACAAAATATAAAAATATGAAGATAAGAGAACAGTAATAAACCTTCCATATTGGAGTAGGCAAGCCAAAATGGATTAAGCAGAAGCAATGAGATCAAGCAAACAAGACCAAAAGCTTTAAAATTTTCCCTCTCCATTTTCGATGCAAAAAGTAAAAATAAAGCATCAACTTTCAGATCCAAGAAAGACCCAGAACCGCCATGAAAACCCCACAAGAAAAGAGAAAAACCCTAACTTCACAAATCAAACCATGATCTTTTCCAAAATTCGAGTTTCAGAGAGAGAGGGGGAGAGAAGTCACACTTGATTTACTCTCATTAATGACAACACAGAGAAATGCCAAGGAAAACAAGTGGTAACAGCTACAAGAGAAGTAAAAAAGGTGTGAGATTTTGATGGGGAAGAGAAAAGAAAATATAAAAGAAAAATAGAAAATGATAAAAAAAAATTTAAATGAAATCCCTTTTTCAAATCTTTGGGTTGCGAGCAAAAAAAGTTTGGACTTTATTCAATTTTAATAATAATACGCTTTTGCGTCTGTGGTTCTGTTTCAATAGCCGTCTCTCTCTAAAGCCTACTCTAGTATCAGTGATGGGCTCATTCTCTCTCTGCTTCTCGTAAGAGAAAGACAAAATACCTCTTTCAAATATTACAATCACATTTTTGTTGGTTTAAGTTTCCTTTTTTTTTTCTATTTGTCAACTTGTTCCATTTCAAATTACTAGAAATTTTGTTCAAAACAAAAAAAAAAATACTAGAAATTGATCCCACATTTATCTGTTTATTTTATTTCAATATTTTATATAACTTTATATATTCATATTAATATTGTGTTTACGTTTATATTTGTCTTTTTCAATGTCTTTTTGTTTTTTTAATGCTATAAAAAAATTGTTCTAATATAGATTATGATATGTTAAATTTTTTTAATTCTTCATATATTTACATGCTGCCATAAATATAACTGTTTATTTGTATTTAATTGGTTTCTCCTATTATTTTTACAGCTTATTTTTAAAAATCAACAAAGTAAAATTACTATGAATTTCATCTACTCTAAACTAAATAATCTCTTATTTTTGCTATCACATTTCAAAAACTTTAATTTATTTTCAAGTTTTTTTTCTTCTTATAACTCTTAATCATATTGTTCTAATTACAATCTACTGTTTTTCTCTTATTTCATGCAAAGTTTTCATTTCATTGAGTTTTGTGATTGACTGTAACTTTAAATAAAAGAATTATAGTTAGAATTGCTGAGACAGAACAAGAAATCTATTTATATATTACATGTGTTTGATGGATTTGTGTTTACTTGATGAACTGTTGATTTTAGAACTGTGGCGGTTTTTTTTAGAAGCAATTTTGTTGTGTCCATCTATTTGACAATGATTTTAATTGAGAGCTTATGTGTGAGAATAATTTTGTCTGTTTTCATATCATATGGAAGTGAACAATTTGATTCTATTAAATAATATAATCAATAATCTTATTTTAGTTTATGTATTCACTTTATATTAAAACTCATATATTATCCAATTGATAAGTAAAATTCTTGAATATCAATTTTATATTACCACTATCGGCAAAAATGGTTGATAAATATTTGTCTTTTATATTGACTATATAATATTTATTTTATATGTAGGCTTTTTATTCAAATAATAGTATAGAAATGATCGATGATATAAAAGTTGAGAAGAAGTTCTTTGACATTAAGAGGGTGTATTGGATTGATGATTTAGAAGAATTTGTTTTTTTCCAAATCTTTCTTTATTGGATCTAATATTTATAAAAGTTCTCTCAAATTCATGGTTATTGGATTAGTTATTTTTAAAAATTCTCTCAGATTTTATCTTATTGGAAAACAGAGATTTCAATAATAAAATATATCAAAAATAATTTGGAAATATTTGTAAAGTAATTTGTAGTTAAAAAATGATTGATCCAAATCCACTACATATTATTTGAGAAGTAACATAATTGAAAATTGCTTACTTGTCAACACTACAATCAAAATTAGTGCTTTTAATTGATGACATGTAAATGTGACATGTCAAACTTCCTAAAATAAACAAAATGTTTTGATTGGTTGAATTGAAATTATATAAATTATGGAACTAAAACATAAATAAACTAAATTATATTTATAACACTAAAATTAATAAATTTAAATTAACAGAAAATAAAAGTTATTATAATTTTAATTTTTTACATATATTCATAATTTCATAAAAAATAATTATGAAAATTTTCAATAATATATATATATTATAATTTCATATAAAAATAAAAAAATAATATTAAATTATCTAATAGAATAGTAAAAATTCTATTTATTAATAATATTTTAAGTATGATATATTTTTATTTCGGAAAGTTATTACTTAAATCTAAAAAAGTTTTAAATAAACAAATTATTAAATAATACAATTTTAAATAAAATACAATCATGATAAAAATAATTTAAAGAATAAAATGTTAAAAATAATAAAAATAAATAACTTTTATTTTTTTTATTTTTTTTAAAAACGTAATTTAAAAAAAATATTTTCAAACCAATATTTACTAAAAGAATAAAGTATATACTAATTATTATTTTATAATCTTAATAGGACAATATATTTTTCTATAACTTTTATCATCTTTTTATTGTTATTTTCTAAAATACGCATAACTTATGTTACCATCTCATCTTATCTCTTATCATATTTTAAATAAAAATAAAATTTATATCATATTAATATATATACATAATTTTGTTTTCATTGTATATCAAAATTTTGAGATCATAAATGAATTGAAAAATAACCGAACGAAAGAATAAATTATAATAAGAAGAAACAATATGAATAAGAGATAAAAATAGAAGTATATAAAAAAAAATCTCTTGCTCTTTGTTTTACAAAGTCACTTAAAAAAATTTTAACACGTAAGAGCAGCCCTAATGGAGAAATTTGGATGTCTAAAACAAAAGATTTTAATAATAAAAATGAATAAAAAATAGTGAAAGGATCTTAAAAAATAGACACAGTGTCTAAAATATGATACTTTTGTTGAGTTAAGACACCCAGTGTCTAAAATAAATAATAAAATATTTTTAAGACCTTCTTAATAAGTTCTCCATTGGGGTTGGTCGCCATATTTCAATTTTTTTACAAATACGCGTATATATATAAATATTAGTTGTACATTAGTTAAAGTCACATGCGAACTTTTTCGTGCATGTATTTTGTTAAGATTGGTTACAGTCTAATTTTATTTTAATAATTATCTAATTTATATTTTTTCAAAAAATCTTTATTATTCTAAGTGTAGTGAAGTGATTGGTATGCCCACACATGCGTGCCAACCATCTATCCGCTCTTAGGAATAAGTAAAAATGGTAAAAACTATTCAGTTTAATTTGCAATAAATCAAGAAAAATATATACTTGAAATATATTATATATGTATTTACAAACTCATATTATGTAAGACGCAAAAAGCATATTGTAGATTGTGTAAGGAGAAATATAGCATATTAATATTATAAGAATTTAATTATTATTTAACATAACTTTTATATTTGTGATTATATACTATTACAAGCATTATAAAAATAAAAATAATAAAATACATTGATTTCAGAATTTTTTTGTGAAATATTAAAACAATATATATATACAAACATACAAATATTTAAAATTTAGATATTACAATTAACTATGTATATCAAAAAAATTATACCCGCACATATGTGCAGGCCAACCACCTAGTACCATCTTATCAGATGGAATTTGAGAAAACAAAAAAATCCATCAATTCTTACGACAAAAATAATAAGAGTGATCATATTATTAATTGGCAAGCAAGTTGGACTGTGGTTAAAAGTTATGATGGTTGTTTACCTTTTGACCCTCATGTGAAAAGTTCTAATTTATCCTTAATAAAATTATTTATTGAATTAAATTGTGCAATATTGATTAAATTAAACTGTATGATCGGATACAGAATTAATTTAATTATAATCATTAGTTTTTTATTGAATGAGTTTTTTATTAATAATTTTCTTAGACTAAACCTAATTACTTTTTGCAGCAAACTCCTAATGACAATTAAAACTGTAATTTCTTCATATATATTACATAATTTAATATCAAATCCTAGATGATATACAAAATCGGTCACATTCTTCAGTTTAGCCAAAACACTTTCTATAGGAGCCATCACGAAGCAGAATAGTTGTTTTCTTAGTTTTTGTTTATGATCAGTTCATTCTCACCATCTGTTCAATGTTCCACTATTTAGGTCTATACATGTTGGAGTTTTGATTTGATTTTGAGCTTCGGTTTTGTGACATCCAATATTTGATCACGATCTGTGACAAATTAGGTTCTGGAAATATCAACTTGTCTTCATCTAGGTCTTAAGACCTTATATTTATACATACACAAGGTTACGACTAAAGGCAATCCTAAGAATCAAAAGAGGAAAATATACAATTCTATAAATATGTAATATACTTAGATATTCTAATACCCCCTTCAAGTTGGAGCATGTAAGTTAGTAATGCCCAACTTGAGTAAGAAAGTATCAAACTCCTTCTTTCTTAACGCCTTCGTAAGTATGTCCGCAAGTTGATTCTTCGTAGATACATGAACCGGTTTGATAAGACCTCGAAGAATATCATCACGAACAAAATGACAGTCAACCTCAACATGTTTCGTGCGTTCGTGGAAGACGGGATTAGCACTA